TATATATATATATATATATATATATATATATATATAATGATTGAAATGTGACCGTATTTGAAATATATAGATTATTGCTATTTTGAAATTATTTTTTTTAGTTACGACCTTTGTACTCAGTTGCTCCTTGACGTAGGTTGCTAAGCCTTTAAAAATTTTGCACATGGAGGATATGAAACAAAATAATATTTTTTAGGTTTTATATATACATTTGAATAACTGAAATATCACAAATTACTACATTAATACCATAGAATTCCACTAAAATTTATCAAGCTTAGTAACTAAGATGTATTTTATTCTAAAAAATATGAAATTTTGAGCAGACTAAAGACACAACCTACCTCATTGAAATCTTGATTCAAAAGAAAGAAATAGCAGAAGGAACAGTAGAAAGGCTGAGAAAACCACTAGGAGGGCATTCTGAGCTTCTGATTGGTTATTCATGTCATATATAGAAGTAAGTATATATATATGTAAGGGAGCATTTCCAAAAATGGAAGGAGATGGGTGGGGTGCCACTGTGTTTCATTTATTACATGAGCAATATCTTAGCAAATTGAAAAGATAAGAGACTCTTCTTTTATATTCTAGCTTTTCAATATCAGTAATTTGAGTTTCTAATTCATACAAAACTATAGACTTTGTATTTTGACTTCACAAACATCTAATTTGAACCAGTACTGCATTCAACATACCACGTGACATACAAAAATCGATGTTCATCTGTGTTTTTTAATATTTGCTTTTAAATTAAGAAATTGAGTAATATATAATACTAAAATTTGAATTATAATCTACAGTTTGATACCAAAGTTACTGACATAAATTCATGAAATAGTAGTTCAATAAAATTTTGAATGCGAGTCAACAAATGAGATGACATGGCCTTTCACCTGTGACCCTATCTCGAAAGGGTTAATAAAAGATATTTTCTGTTTTATATTTCTATATTTGTCACAGCTATTCCTCTCTAATGCAACTGTGAAAATATATATGTATAATGCAAATGAAAACTGAGAGAACAATAAGATTCTACTTTAAGCTTCAGAGACCATGGGCCAAAAATTAACATTCAATTTTGCTACTTCTCTCCTAATGTACCTCTGATAACAAATTTTTTGCTGGTCAACATCAACATCAAATTTTCAGTCTGTATATTATCAAGTGCTTACCAAGTTGGCAACTAATAATAGCAAAGTTTGTAGTTACACAAGTCATATGTATTCAAACTTTCCCATGTACTTTATTAAACAATAAATCTCAGTTTTCTCATACATATAGTTTACAAAAGATTTATCACCAAAATGCACAAGCACAAATCACCATCTATCAGTGATTCATGTTTATTTAGGTAAAGCAGAATCTGAACCATATAAAATAATGTGAAATTGGTGTATTTATTCATGAAAGGAAAACTTGTAAGTTAAAAGCACCACTTTTCAATGCTAATTGCAGTACTTTAAAAAAGGTTAAAATATTATTGGACTTCTCTGTTACTCTACTACATCACAATACTTGTTCTGCCATTGAACGAAACATGCCAGTGTAAAAAAAACATAGTTAAGACTCCATAACAGCTGAAAATGCCCCAACGTCTTGGCATTAGATAAATTATGATTCTGCTGCTACTCAAGACCAAAGTTCACTCAGAATAAATCAAAAAAATAAAGAAAACCTTCCATATTCATTTGACATATTTGAAATTAAACACAGAACAAGGAACTGAAATTGGTAAACTACAAATATTGTTATTACACTGTTAATCATTATCAACACACATTCTTATAACATATAGCTCTCATTTTTAGCCAGTTTCAACACTCTTCTACTCAACTTGTATTTTGACTTGCAATTCTATATATTCCAATATTCCACATGCCTCATATCTCTTATAGCCTCATCAATGTTTCACTATTTAAGCCCTCCGTAACTTTCTTCTACTAACCTGATCAAGAACTGTACAAGCATTTTGATGCTTGTTTGTTTGTTTTGAATTTCACCCAAAGCTACACAAGGGCTATCTGCACCAGCCATCCCTAATTTAGCAGTGTAAGATTAGAGGGAAAGCAGCTAGTCATCATCACCCACCGCCAACTCTTTTACCAACGAATAGTGGGATTGACCGTCACACTATAATGCCCCATGGCTGAAAAAGAGAGCATGTTTGGTGTGACGGGGATTCAAACCCACGACCCTGAGCTTGCGAGTCGAGTGCCCTAACCACCTGGCCATGCCAGGCCCATTTTGATCCAATATTTCATAATTAATGGTGTATGAAGCTTGTGACACTATTAAAAAAACGATTCATTACCCATTACCTACATCATTTAAACAGCACTAGGTTTAGTAAGTGTGTTGATATATGACTGTTGGAATACGCCTGATGAACATAGTACTATTCAGTACTGCTCTTGATAGCACTAGTTTGTGTTGATGTATGACTGTTGGAATATGCCTGATGAACATAGTACTATTCAGTACTACTCTTGATAGCACTAGTTTGTGTTGATGTATGACTGTTAGAATACGCCTGATGAACATAGTACCATTCAGTACTACTCTTGATAGCACTAGTTTGTGTTGATATATGACTGTTGGAATACGCCTGATGAACATAGTACTATTCAGTACTACTCTTGATAGCACTAGTTTGTGTTGATGTATGACTGTTGGAATACGCCTGATGAACATAGTACCATTCAGTACTACTCTTGACAGTTAAAGATTAACCTTTATAGCACATGCTCAAATTATCCCCACCCCAATAATATCAAGACATCCTATATTGATAAAATACTTATCTATATTATTACCATTTCAATAACTGCAAAATCAGTTTCATCTTAAAATCTTCACTATTTGTTTGACATTATTGGTTTGTTCATATACAATTTACATTCACTTCGTATTTGAATCAGTCATAGAGCTTATGAGACCAATATTTTAACTTTTTAATGTGAATTCCAGCTTTATAATTTTTAAAACGTAAACTTATTTTACACATGTAATTTATCTATGTCTATCATTCACCTTTCCCTTGTCTGCTGATGTAAGTAAAAGAATGAACTATTATTTTACAATTTTTGTACACATTCCTACCTTAATTGGTCTTTAGTGACCAGTAAAATGGTAACTGATTATGTATTGGTTTAACTACAATTTTCCCAGCATGCATCTCACCTCATACAACAGTTCAATATGAGAGAGTGTGTTTTTGAGATTCAAAAGCAACATTTTTCTTTTTCAAAAACATGATCACAGAAAAAGAAATAAAATAGTGGAAACACTTTCTCTCCACATGCAATTACAAATTTCTCAATAACTTTTTTTCCATTTTGGTGCAAGTATCATCTCAACTATGAGATAAACAGCTACTAACCCTTGCAACACCTTCAAGTCGAATCTCTTCTTCACCAGCACTTCGACTTCTTCTCCGATTCAGGGGTACAGCTAACCGGTGAGGATTTATGTAGGGCACTTCTACTGGCAAACGAGGATCAATGAAAGTGGTACTCCTTGTTGTATGATCAATGAAAAATTGCTGTAAAACACAAGCAGACACTATTAGTAACTTCTAAGTAGTGTTCTGGATTAACATATTTTACACTACAGAAGTTTGTCATTAGATGATTCAGAACTTACAAATTCATATCTAAACTGTAAGTAATTTATATTTATGGTAAGGCTGTGGTGAATGCAATTCAATTGTTGTCATGATTATTAGCAAAAGAAAATTCTTTTCTTTAATTACTACAAACCAATGACAAATTTTTGTGCCTATTTTTCTTTATTATTATTGGTTCTAATCTGCTACCACCTCAAGAGGACTTCTGATCAGGACTGTTTCTGATGCGTGGAGGACCAGAATTTGAACTTTCTAGTTGGAAGGCATGGATGATACCTGGTCTTGGCTGAGACCAACTAGATGTTGTGTTTGACAAATTGTGAATACTGCAGGAAGGAGATTTAACTTTTGTTTATTTCTGTGCTTCAGAGTCCACTTTGACTATGTGAACGACTTTGAGAAAACTGTCATTAATTGAGATTGGCTAGGGTCAGAGAACTTTGGTCAGTAAGTTTGATTGTAATTGTTTTTTTTTTACCCCAACACAGTTTAATTATTTAAATGCACAAGTTAAAATTATTTTATTTATATTTCATATGATACTATATTATCAGATGAATATTAATGGATGTTCATAAATTCACTGTGCCCAGTGCTATTGGAAATACATTACTGATGTTGACAGCAAAAAACAACAACATAGAAACTATATCAAATATAAGGGAAAAATTAGGAAAATATTTAATATTACACTGTTACTATGTGTCAGTTATAGATTTAGTGTTTAATTTAGTTGGACTGTAAGTAGAAGTACAAAACTGCCACTTGATCAATTACATATCTATTGTTAGCTTTCTAGAGTTTAGCTTTAGTAATTCTGGATAGCAGCAAGTCCGAAATAAGGATTAATCTACTGGTAAGATCAGTCTTAATGTTAAACTGCCTGGAGCCTACTTGTGTGCAACATAAGGGTGGGTTAATGTCTGAAATATTAGATCAAAGGCCAACAAGCTGTACCAAGTTGTGCCACACATACAGGTTAGGTTGACAAATTACCAATCAAAGAGGAAACTTCACTACACTAGATGGTAGAAACAACACAAAGATGCCTAGTTACTGGTTAGAGACAGTACTGATTGGTGTATGGTTTTGGGAAAGTACTGTTACACCCTAGTGGCCCACTGTCACTTGCATGCTAAGTTAAGGAGGACAGGCCTAGGAACAGGAATTATGAACAGCAAGTGGTTAATGTATTGCCTATTAACAAAACATTAAAATAAATAGTGCCCAGACAAATGTCTGCAGGAACAACAGAGCTCTCGTGCTCATTGAGGGACCTTGACAGATCTGCAGAAACAGAAGAATAGGAATACTGATGCCCAAGCACTGAACTGGTAAATGACATATGCTAAGAATGTGCATAAGACTTTGTCAGTCTCATATTCTTAAAGGTTACTGCAATATCAGGGGGAAGCAAACACCGCCTTGACATCACACTCTCTTAAGAAACTAAATTCTCACTGCAAACTATAAAACATCCTTATAGCTCACTGACAGTATTCACACAAATCTTAATCACTAATGTGTTTATGAAAGACAACACAGCACATCATGTGGAAAATTGGAAGCCATCGTCAGCTTTGATTAGATACATAGGGTTATAAATATATCTAAAGATTTAACTCCAAGTCCAGATGATATAAGAATCTCCACTTTTAAGAAGCTTACAGAAGACAGCTTATTGAAGTTAAGTGTCAGAGTATCAATGCAGCTGGGCAATGGGTAGCATTCCTGAAATATAGACTGGTGCCTTTATCAAATCTTTACCAAAGTCCATGAAGAATCACTCTCATTTTAAAGGCTATTAAATTACTGTCCCACAAATCACCATTGGCAAAATCCCAGAGAAAGCTGTAGCTAGAAGGTTTGCATATCAGATTGAACCATTACTACCCTCATCATTAGGTGATTATCACATTAAAAGAAAATTAAAACAGCAACAACAACTAAAGAAACTAACATTTTTATTAATCAATAAGTAAAATAATTTTGTACCTTGCCACTTCGATCATGTTTTGACTCCCATCCTCGAGGAAGATCTCTCTCTAAGTCGGCAAATTTGTTCAGCAAACTTACTAAATCTCGATTGTGTTGGTACCTGACAAAAATGTTTAGTATTTTCATGTTTAAATTAATAACTAAAAAGTGGTGATGAGTCAGTTTTGCTTGAAACCAACATAATACTATTATCAATATCAGTGAAAGCAGTATTCAAAAATATTACATTTTCACACTTACACAAATAAAACACTCATATTTCAGTCAAAAACAACACTATGTACAAACAGTTATTGTACTAAAAAGTTTTAATGTGTTATTGTTCCACTGTAATTGAAAATACTTTCCAAAAAAATACTCAAATAATTTGTTTTCATATGAGATTCTTTATTATTTCGAAAGAAAAACATTTGTATAACAACAGCATTTCATATTAATTAGAGTTAAGAAGCTAGAACAGCCTCTGATTTCACAGTATCTTACCTCTCAAATGTAGAAGGATCTCTTCTAATCTTAGTGATCATGTGTTTCAAGGAGGAACTACTGTTGTAAGCAGCTAGGGCTTCCTGCAGTATTAATAATGTCAATATCTTACACATTATATATTAGTATCTATTTTTAAAAAATAGTCTAAAAACAGAATAAATAATAAACAGAAAGAATGATATAGAATCATGAGATCACTTTCAAGATGAAAAAAATGGGGATTTCAGAAACTCAAAATAAATGTAACATACACTAAAGATCTTTCCAATGAGGAGAACAAGTGAATTCTTATTATGTGACGTCATTTCAGATAACATTCTAATTGTACCTGTTGTGTTTAAAATTACATCATATAATCTTTCTGTACATTTTTTATTTAAATATAATCTAGAAACTATTAAATTTACATACTCTTTTAAAAAAGTTTTTAATCAATTAAAAATACGTGTATAAATAATTTTTCTTTCAAAATGTTTTCAACTATTATTTTTACAAAGCCAAGGCAGAGCTGTAACAAAAATTATTCTCTTAGTTCAAATTCAGTCACTGGTTTACTTGCCTAAATGCCTTCAATCACAAAGGTTTAGACTCTTTTAAAACTTAGACAATATCAAATGCAGTGATGATGATTAATTATTCATAAGCCATATGATAGTATGCTGATAGTACTAAAGAACTCGAATATACTGTACCATCTTTAAAAAAACTAAATAATAACATACAACTGTTGGTCTACTCACATCATTCATGTGTAAAACACTAAAGAAATCAGATCTAGAAAGGAAGCGCAAAGGTGGCGAATTAAGTAGCTGAGCTCGTCTGTTATTAACACTGTTTGAGGAAGGCACCGAGGCAGCAGATGACAATGATGAAACAGAGGAAGAAGCATCATGCATGCGAGATGTAATGGTTCTCCTAATGCTTTGATATCTGTAACATTAATAGGCATAAGTAATTCATTAAAAAACAGTACTGTTTTTAGATAAAACCTGAAATGTAACAGTCAAAGCTATTAATTATATACACACACCTCTAACATACATATAAATAAGAATTTCACACCTTAAAAATAGCTACAGAAAATTTCAACTGGACTTTACAATATATATGAAGTGGATCATAACTTGTATATATGGCATATTAGCATTAATAGTAGCTAATAAAAAGTTTTAACATGCAATTCAAAATAAGACCAAAACTACAATTTCTTTCACATATGCCAGATATTTTCTGATCAAATACAATCTTATATCATTACAGTGTTAAACAAAGATAAAGAATTCACACCATAAAAACAATAAGTTACATAAATTATAATTTCACCATTTTTTAAATCTATAGTTTGTTACTGTTATGGCTATTCATCCACTAATACTACAAACTTAAAAACAATGCCACGTATATTGTGTTTACAAGTTACATTAAATCATATTGCAACATAAATATATTTTCCAGAATTTTATCATTGTATTAAAATAATGCACCCTGCATTAATCCACATCACTAATTACTAGGAATTACTCTAACCTGTTTCTAGTTCCATACTTAAAACAACAGATCCTCAATTTTTATTCTATCTTAAACACACAATTACTTTGCTTTAAATTTAGAGACTTATCTTTGACTTACCTGTAGCCTAACAACTTATTAAACAAAGCTTTAACTTTTTAGCAATCTAATAGACAAAAAATTATATATTCTAATCCCATAAACAAAACTATATATATATATATATATATATTTATTAAAATGATTCTTTATTAACATAATATATATAATGTTAGAGCCTTAACTTACCTGCGATCTAACTGTTGACGCTGAAGTTCATTTGTTGCTCCAACTGATGGCTGCTGGGATCCTGTTGGTCGATTCCACGTTGTTGTTCGATTTAAATGATCTATATAAAAGATACGGCCATGGGTGTCGATACGAGCCTCCCAATCTGAAAAGACAATAATATTTTGCTTTATCAACATTTTTTGTATGGTAATTAAATACCTCGGATATCAGGGTTGCACAAGAACATTCTTCTCAACATAAATACTGTCTGAACATGTGAATATACATTGATTTAAATGAATCAAAACATACATTCCAAATCACACAATTCCACTGTCTTAGAAGGCTAGATTATATATCAGAATATTTTTAAAGATTTACTTTTGATTATAGGTAAGAAGAATTTGGAGAGAGAGGTCCCTTTTGTACACTATTCCCTGTAATTATCACGATGTCTCTTAAATATGCTTATAGATTTCACTACCTTTTCAGGACCCTTTCTCAAATTGTTAGGAATTCTTAATCCCTACCATGCAGACTAAAAATTTACATCTTCCTAAATCAAATGTGCCAGCCAGGCAGAAACTGCCGCAGTCTCAGGTCTCATGAGGCACGAGATTCACAAAATCAAACACATAATATAAACAAACCTAACTCCAATAACCAGAATTTTTTTCTTTAATTTTTTGATAAGCTGATTATTTCAAGGAGGATTTTTTTTTTTTTTACATTAAGATTGATATTTCAGACATTTCTACAAAACAAGGAATTAAAAACAGCCTATTTTCCAAAACCACCAGTATTGAAATTTTTAAGAGGTCATTTTATGCGAGTTTCCGATATTTCAAAGATCTATGTGAATCTTTTATTTATATATATGTATATAAAATTACACTTAATTATGGTTTCAAACTTACTTTGTGGCAAAGGTTCCTCCAACTCCACTCTCTGAAACCGAATAGTTCGTTCTGGAATAGAGGGAAGTCGTGTGGATGGAGCATGGTTACCAGATTGTGACCAGGAGCTACTTGATCCATCAGTGAGGCTAGGTGTTCCTATGGGTAACCAGGACTGACTAAATAAAGACCAAAACGTTAACGATGTTAAACCATTGAATATTAAATACACTTCTAAATTAGCAGCATATATCATTTACAATGTGGAAAATAACAACTAATTAAAGCTACCAGAAGTTTTTATTAAATTTGTAATATCTGCTTCTTCATACTAGCTTTACAAGAATATCACTGAGGGCAAATTGCAAAGACAACTTCCTTTTCATTGGAAAAATGTCAGCTAAAATACCTCATTCAAATAGTTTTACTATACTTTTCTTTCAAGCACCTTTTAAAGATATTTCATTAATCTCTTTGCTAAATAGAAAAAAAAAAGATGATCAAATGCAACATTTTTCTGATTTCAAATGTTTTTGTTGTTACTAATAAAAAAAATACAATTTGTGAATTTTGTTATTAATAATATTAAAACATTTACATAACTAATTCCTCCATATGAACAAAACTTCTAAACATAATACTCCCCACAGTTGCACTAACTCATCAAGATTAATTTTCCCATTTTCTAACCTGAAAAAATACACTTTACTGTATTTTAGTTATGATCTGATTATTACTTACTTTGTGAAGCAAACTTATATTGACTTTTGCTTTGAGTTTGTCTTTATATCCAATTCTTTTTCATTATACTGGCTGGTTTTTTTTACTAAGTAAGAAACTTAATTTTTAACTAACTTTTCTGATCCAATGCAAAATTAAATATTACTGGATTCTTTTTAGATTTTTATCTCAAACACATGAAAGATTATATATTGCTTACAATAGAAAATATGTTATTTACGACAGCACTAAAGTATAAAGTAATATTACTCAACAAACAGAAAGACAAATATTGCAAATAAACGACAGCTTATTTTCATTTGTAAATGATGTAATATGAACATTGTGTGTGTAATATTTTCTTTTTTACTGAATCTGTAACAACACTTAATGATCTTTATATCAAAACTGTTACTGTATTCTGAAGTTTAATAGGACAAACAAAAGCACAGTAGATGTATAAGTATAACATATAAAGCTCTCAAACACAATTTGTTACAAAATTGAATGAAAGAAAGATATTTTAAGCTTATTGCCATTAAAAATGTTATTTCTAACAATTTAAAGGATTTTTATTTCTACAAGTGCTAAAACCACTAAAAACTCAAAATTATCAAACTTATGTCAACTGCATTTAAAAATTACCTTGTAATGGGTCTCCTAGTTTCCCACAGCGGATGGCTGACATCAATTGTTGCATGGAGTCTTGGATGAGGGTGATGAGTAGGGGTGGGAGGACACTGAAGCAAAGGAGTACACACATCTGAAAACTCTACACTGTCACTTTGCTCCCTGACAGGAGCTGCTGCAGTGCTAACTTGAGAGTTCATTTGTTCAACTTCATAGATATCTCTAGTTTCTCTACATTCTACTACTGGAGTTCTTTCTTGGGTTTCTGTACACAATTCTTCTGTATGGTGTGGTTCCACAACAGTTGTTGGTTCACTGCTCTGGTCATAAATTTCGTTCACTGACTGGGTAACTGTTCCATTTGAATAAGTAATAACCTCTTCTATTTCTGGACTGCCTGCAGTCTCTGTTCCTGTAGAAGTTGAATCACAAACATATTCTTCAGGATAATCAGCTGTGTCCTCATTTTCACCACCACCAGACCAAGAGGTTTCTGAATCAGACATGTTAACACTTGGGCCACCCACAGAACCATCAGTGTTAATATCTTCATGGTCACTGCAGCTAATGGTTTGTGAGGGACTAATGGAGCCAGGAGGTGAGGTCACTGTTCCAGATGCTGCTTCAGTATCTTCTGCTTTGGGTCCTTCCATTTCTGTCCTTTCACTAACAGTTTCACTAACAGGTAGGTCCTCTGAGCTCACTACTGAGTTTAGCTCATCAATGTCAACAGAATCAGCCACTTCTAAAGCAGCATCTAGCTCAAATGCACTCTCTTCAGGAGTCTCAAGGATAGAATCATGTATGTTTTCCAGTGAAGGCACACTTTCTTGAATAGAGTCATGTTCAGGTGTGGCTAAAGGTGCAGCCCTGCTTGGTACAGGAGGTGGAGGGGTCCTTTGGGCAATCTCACTCACAGGAGACTGCTGATCTGCATCAGCTGGCAAGTCTTCCACACGATGTGGTGGTGAAACTGGAAGAACTGATGGTCTTGAGGCACCTGGCTCACGTTGGGGAGGAGGTGGTGGACTTGTGTCCTCCTCCTCAAAAGACATCATGGAGGTTGAGGGCGGAATACTTCCCAGACTTTCATCAGATTCCAGACTATGTGTTAATCCTTCCTCTGTGCTAGACAAACCATTCTGTTCATCTGTATCAACTATTTCCAGAAGGAAGCTGTCTTCGGGACGTACATGCCTAGCCTCTGATAACAGAGATCGGGTAGTATCGCTACCACTACTTGCAACTTCCTGACTGCCTGAGCTATTGTTAGGGTTTAAAGCTTTCATACGTTCTAGTGGTTTATGACCATGGTGTCTGCGGGTTTTCTGTTTGGGTGGCAATGGTGGAGGAATATCTGGAGGTTTAGAAAAACCCTGAGAACAAGAAGATAATATTTCTGTTGCACTTTGTAACACATATTCTGGGTTAGTAAATGCCACCCCAATGCTTCCATTTGAAGCATGAGCTCCATTACCACTTGAAATTTGAGATGAACCACCTACTGAAAGTCGAGAAGACATAGCATGAGAAGGCTTTTGTGAAACCATGGGGCCTGACTCTGTTCGAGTTAGTGGCTCTGGAAGATTTTGGCTGGTGGGAGGTTGAGGGATATTCCCATTAGGTATTGAAGTGGCCCTACTGGTTATTTGAGGAGGGTGATGAACTGGTGTGGTGGGAAGAGATGACCCTTCCTGACCAGTTGGAAGGTCTGAGACATAAAGAGGATTATGAACCTGACGTATGTGTGTCCATGGATCAACTGAAAGAAAAAATATCAAAATTCCACTTGTTACAAACTCTGAAAACTCAAATAAAACTGAGATCTTACTTTTTTAGGTGACTGTCACACACTTGTGTACTTTAATTTTTACTTAATCATTTTGAAATATAATTACAAAATACACTAACAACATTTTAATTGACTTTAAAAATTATAATTACAACCCCCAATAATAGTTTTTTTCAATAATTTATTAATTATATTGCTGGGGTGCTTTAAAGTTAATATATTTTAACAAAGAAAAAATTTAATAATCGTCAGTATACATTTTTTCTTGCATACTTGTAAATTCTAACTTAAACAATTTTTCATTTAAAATTTGAAAGTCCTAATAATACGGTATTTGTTAAAATAGAATGTCTTTTTATTTACTAACTTATTGAATGCTTTATAAATATAACATTAGCTACAAATATCTCAATATATATTGGCAAAAGATAAATAAATCTTAATATTACATCAATAGTGCTGATCATTATTTAGCATCATTTACTTTACAAGTAGAACAAAAGCTAAAAACATAATTTATTCTCACTTTCACCATATATTTTTTGAAAAGGGATATATTATACCCTATTCATTCAAATTAAACATTCCATCTGTTAGAACAACCAGTGCAACTGAATACTGAAAAAGTTGCGCTAAGAACAAGAAACACAAAAAAAAAGTTATTTGTAGTTTCTATCTACTTTTTTGTGATAAAGTAAAAAAAAAAAAAGATTAAAATCCTCATTGTTCCCCTAACAGGTTTAGATCAAAGAGTATTCACTGTATCACAAACTTTTGTACTTGTAGTAGTATATGCATGATACCACAAGAAGACTGATAATCATATAAATACCAACATTCTTTAATGATCCAATACAGGTTTCTAATAAGAAGAGTATATAAAAACATTTCAATTACACTTTGTTGTTTGCTGCTTTTAGTAAAGACATTTGCTCAATACCGAGGCTCATTAAACCAGCTGGGGTGCAATATGTAGTCTTACTTGAATTGTCATTTATATCAGGTGTTTATGAGACAGTGTTATGGTGTTTTGAGTTCCTTATGTGGAAGAGCACAACACTTTTAGTAATAAGATTGATAATAGTTTAAATCATATCAGCCTGATAACCATCAGTACTGAGCAAAAAAAAAGACCTCTTCAGCAGAAGCATGTAATAAAAAAGGTATAGTTACAATGCTATTATACACTCCTAATGGAAACCCATATTGGGTCAGTAAAGAAAGATAGGACTAAATCCACTGATTAAACAGATGGGTTAATTTTTATAGTAACAACTTACCCACACTGTATGAATTTGTACTTTTAATAAATATGGTAAATAAAACCAAGACATTAAAATTATGTACCCTTTTCAACTGTTTTGCTTATCTTGAAATCAATGATCACACAGTGAATTAAGTTTTATTTACATTATCATTAAAAGATTAATAAGTCATATACGTTCAGAAATGTATGAAGGGGAAACATTTCAAATATTTGTTTTTCATGTGTACACTTCTTGTATTATTTTATACTAACTTAAAATAGGTTACCTTTACAGTTATTTTTATCATATTTCAAGAATTCCTTTATTGTTAATATCTTTAGCAAACTAAGCATGTTTACAGACTGACAGTGAAGTTAAATAAAAAGCTGAGAACAAAGTAGTTCAAGATCTATATGAATAAAACACTAGTAAGTGGCTGACTGGTAAAATATTGAAAAAGGATGCAAAATGAATTTTGCTTATATTTAATTATTTCATTCTAGGTATCTAAAGGGCAACAAATGTGATGGAATAAGAACAAATTACTAGGATGTTACACTGGAATTTTTTAAAATATAGAATAAGAATGCTTCCTACCACTACCAATTCATGGTTTGTTTGTTGTTAAGTACAAAGCAACACAATGAGCTATCTGTGCTCTGCCCACTATAGCTATCAAAACCCAGTTTTTAGCATTTTGTAAGCCCTCATACTTATCACTGAGCCGCTGAGATGGTAAGGGGAGGGGTACCAATTTATGGCAAACATAAATGTTTCAGAAAAATCATTATTTTAAATTATATATTTTGGAGAAGTGTTTATACTTATGATTTCATACTCAGCATTTATGTTATTTAAGATAAGTTGTGTTTATTAAGGGCTATCTGCAAGACCTGTCCTTAATTTTGAACTGATAAGACTAGAGCATAGGTTCCCAAACTTATTCAATACAAGGCCTCCCACAACCTTCTAAATCCTTTCTGAGGTCCCCCACCCAATGCATTTATAGATACTTAGTACCTTAACAGTATTGTGTGTTTTGATTAATTACTATCCCACCCCCCTCCCTCCCAGTCTGGGAACCTCTTGGATAGAGGGAAGACAGCTAGTCAACAGTACCTAATGCCAAATTCTGAGCTATCTAATTGAATAAAGGGATTTGACCATCATTCTTATAATGCTCCCATGGCTTCAATGTGTGGAGCTTTTTTTCTAGTTATCGACCCTTGCGTAGGACCCTCAGATCCACAATCTTGCACCCTAACCACTAAACCAGAATAGCCCAATTTAGGTAAATCAGTCAAATATGATAAATACAGGGTATGTTTTTGCACTAAAAACTTTATTATGTGGTGCAAATACTATCTTCTGTAAACAATACTATTTAATTTCATTTAAAAAAAGTGAAAGTACGTTACCAGCAAAAATGTAACACTGAATTAGTTATCTGACAGATTTTTTTAGCCGTTTAGGTCAATATAGTTAGTGAACCTAGTAACAGGTTAATCTTAATATGCATATCACATGTATTATAGACTGCTTAATAGTTCTTTGTATGTTATAAGAACCTTAAATACTGATATAATATGCATGTATGTACTTTAAAACAGCAAAATTAAGTACCATTCGTTTATTTCTGAAAGTATAATAAATCTGTCATAATTTGATTTTTGTCAACTAAAAACCCAGTATTCAGGCATATATGTAGTTTAGTATGTTATAAGTGCTCATTTTGGGTGTTGAGGCTCAGCTAGCTTAATGATCTTTGGTTATTCAACAAGATTCTTGTTGACAATTGGTTACAAATTTAATGTTGTTGACATTTTATGATTACATTCTTCTTGACAAAAACAAAATAAAAACAATATTGGGCTAGTTAAGAATAAAGTGTTCAATATCACAATAATAAAGAATTAAAATAAAATTTACATAATTGTTCTCAAAATGCTTTGTAAGTTGAAAAATAACTGCACTCTGGTTAAATACATACCTTTTTAATAACAATTAAAGATCAACACGTAAACAGTTTTTCTGAAATCTAACTTCAGTTATGAGAATATAACAGGATGTGATAATAACTTTGTTTTTACATTGTCTAAAATATATCAACAATTAGTTTAATAAATGATTAAATTTTACAAACTATGAAAATCCTAACTATTGTTCAATAAAGCTAATGGGAACCATGCATCTTTTCATTTGAAAAATTTACCTGGACCATTTTCTAAAGTAAATACAAAAGACAGTTGTCCAGTCACATGTTCTGATGGACTTTTGCTTGTCAAACTGAAAGTCAACTCTAAAGGAGCACTGTTATATAAAACATAGAAAAAACACTATAAATACTTAAACAAAAATCATTCATATGGATAACAAATACCCTATTAAGTTTATTAAATTTTGTAATCACAAAATAATAAACACTGTTGGTTCATTCCTGCCATGTTAGCTATTTTCAGGTAAAAAAACATTATTTCAGGAACATATTTTAAGTTCAAACATCATAAAATAGTAAAAGAACTAATGTTAATAACAGAATTAAGGTATGGATTAACTCCATTCATCATAATCGTACAAACTATATTGTTTGTATACATAAAATTATTTGGTATGAGAAACATCTTTAAAAATATTAAATATGGCAGAGAGGGGTCATTATAACAAATACTTCAACTTAGAAGGATAATGTGAGAGTATACCAATGCATTTTTGTAAAAGACATTTTCAGTAACTTTTATGTCATTTTATGATATGTTTTATGATGTTCAAATACCTTATATCTACAGGATGGTGTCTATGTGCATGGTCATGTGCAAAAAGAATCTCTTTAATTAAATATAAAATTGTTATTCTCATTGTTACACAGAGAATGTGGGGGGAGCATTTGGGGTATATATATATATATATATATATATATATATATATATTATTTTTTATTATTTACTATAGATTAATAGTAAA